TACCGACTAAATACAGCAATCGTATTTTGTTCTTTAACGCAATGTGTTAATCATCCGCAACATGTTTCTGATCTTCCAATAATAAACCCATTTTTCTATAGCTTACCTTCATCTTTATTCCTCATTTACCACTTACAGAATAATTTGGATTACTGTCCAGAGTATTTTTTTTATATGCCCAATGTTATTCATCTTTTGTGCCTCAACTCTACTATGGTTTAAATACTAACTTTAAGCCTTTGCTACAGCTTGAAGATTAAATTGAAGCCTGCCTTACACCTAAGAAACAAGTTTAAACAAAATAATTTTGTATTTCTGCTACTATCTGAAGGTTCGCTTTATACCTCTATCGTCGTCAAAGTCCACCATTGTCCCTCTGTTGTCATCTGACCTTCAATATTGATTATGGTTGCTCTAAAAGATCAATTTATTTATATCTGTTCCCTACAAATACGAAACTTCTCCTTAAGTAAAAATGTTAATTTTATATCTTTGCTTTTGCCCCAAAATAAAATAATAGTAAAAAAGTTCAATCCCTTGCTACAACTTAGAGACAAATTTTAAACATTTGCTTATGCTTAAATCGCCTTTAAGCTCCTGGTTACGCATAAAAACAAACTTTTATCTGATGTACCGCCAAAAGAAGAACACGAGTTTCGTGCTACAGCCTAAAGACAAACTTTAAACCTGAGCTTTTTGCCTAAAGATCAACTTATGTCGTTATCATCTAAAGCGTCCCCATGGCGGTATGTCTGCGGACTTACAACGATAAAATCTGGGTTTCAATACCCGTGGTAGGCAGAGTACAGATAGCCCATTGTGTAGCTTTGTGCTTAATTACAAACAAACAATACTTGCTTAGATATATACACACAACTCTCCTTATTTATAGACTCACGTTGTTTTCTGCCCTTCAAACTGGCAAAAATCGCACACATATTATTCAAATATGCCAGGAAAAACAATCACATCCTCGCCATTAATGGGCAAGTCTTAAAAATATTCGTTTTTGCTACTAGTTGTTTTCGTTGATTTTTTTTTCTATTAGGCCTGAGTTTGTACTTTACAAAAAAGTGTAAACAAATAGAAGTACACGATCCTTAAAAGTTTGAGAACCACTGATCTAGAAACTAATCTAAATTAAGCTGATTACTTACTTGACAGTTATAACTTTTTCTTATAGGGGGGGAGCCAGGCGTAGAGAAGTGGTTAACGTGCCAGACTATATCTTTGTAGTTTGCATTCCGTTGTTCCAAATTCGCGCTCGGTAATATGGTACCACGGGTACATCATAAAAGTAAAAGTCAAATACAAATATTCGCCCCCTAGTGACATAGCGGTATGTCTGCGGACTTACAACGCTAGAAACCGGGTTTTGATACCCGTAGTGGACAGAGCACTGATAGCCCATTGTGTAGTTTTGTGCTTAACTTCAAACAAACAAACAAACAAATATTCAGTTAGAGCACCCCAAGAGTTGGCGGTGGGTGCTGTTGACTAGCTTCCTTTCCTCTAGTCTATCACTAGTGTATTTTTGAATTGAACAGAGTACCGGAAATAATTTAATCTCTATTATACATATATATTCGATATATTTACGCAGGCAAAAAAAAAATCTACTGCTGAGTGAAGAGACGAGTTACTTGATTCTAGTACGGCTTGACGAGGCATGTGTGCTAGCTTGCCCTATGGTTCGTGGTTCGCGTCCCGTTACTGCAAAAACGTGACACGTACTCGGAGACATTACTGGTGTTAGAGTGACAATAAAATGTAGTTATATGGTCAGACAAGAGTAGCCGGCTTCCCTCTATCAGCGCATAGAGACTCCGAATCCGAAATAAACAAGAAAACTTTTTTCTTACGCCTAAGCGCTTATTGTAGAGAAACACAAACCTGAGCTTTTCACTAACGATTCAAAGTCAACTTTAGTTATTCTACGACAACTTATAAAACTTTTTATACATTCTGTTACTGAGTGCATAAAAACTTCAAGACTTACAATGTCCTCCTTAAAACCTTTTCTGAATCTCCTATCCTACCAGGCGG